CGGGGTATTTGGTTCATATGCCTTTTGTAAGTAACAACTATTCACTTTGTTCATATTACAGCACACATCTAATTATACTGTCTATCGCTTGAACAACATCTTTTACTCATTTTTTCCCAGACCCATTTCGCACTCTCAATTTCGTTCCCTCTAGAAACTTACGTTGGATTTCCCCTCCGTATTCCACTAGTCATCTCTGAACTTAGTGTACTCTTCTGCCTTTAGTGTTATGGTCAACTTGATACAAATCTAGCCCCGACCTAAAAGATAAGCGTTCAATAGCTTAGGCCAGCTTTCTTAGTTGTAATATGTACAGTATGTACAGTATACTGCTATGAAGGTATGATAGTTCGTAACGCCAAGTCTAAAGTAATTATATTTGAAAATAAGATAAAATACTTTTATATATAACTAGCTTTCCGCCCGCAGCTCCGCCCGCTTGGAGTTCGGTTATATCGCGTTTGGGCGTTTGGTTTGGGCGTGAAAGCGTAACAGACAGACAGACAGAGTTACTTTCGCATTTACAATATTAGTAGGGATAATTATACGATCTTTTCGAAAACCCAATTATTGAAATAACGGCTGTGAAAAAATGGGTTTGACAATTTTGATGTAACTAATAGCGGATTTGTGACACGTCATCAGAAAAGACGTGAAGCATAAGGGATATGATGTATTATAAAGAAAAAATATGTAGTTATTTATTTATTTATTTATTTATTTTAAGTTACATCAACATCACACATATTCAACACACCTAAACAACAGATAAAATTGATACTTCTAGGGGACCTGATATGAGTGACAATTACAGACGTACACAACATTCACAGAACGAAAAAAAAAAACTTATTGTCTACCTTATAATAAAATAACAATATACAAAATTACAAGAAAAAGAAAATAAAAATGTATATAAATCATAGAAATAAAATCATGTGACAAAGTGTGATTACAGACTAAGATGTTATTTGATGGATTTTATTTTTAAATTTCTGCAAGGCATCAGCAAATACGTCCAAATGCGGGATCTTAGAGCATATTTTGTTGTACTCGGAACAAAGTCTATTTATAGGACATTGTTTGCCAATATTGGTGCGAGAGACCGCTGTATAGAATATTTTATAAAAAGGCTTTCTGGGAGGTCTAACGGGTACTGAGAAGTCAATGTACGACAGAAGGTGCTCACTCTTAACTACCCCGTTAATAATTTTATATAAGAAAATTAAGTCGTGCATTTCCCGACGTTTAGATAAGGTTTCCATTTAAAAAAAAAAAGAGGTAGTGTAGTTATTTGAAATTAAAAAAAAATCGTTCCAAATAAACAGTGAACAAGTAATCGAATATCCAAATTGTTTCATAATTTCAAAGTAAAACAATATAGTAGAAATTATATTGAATGAAGTGGATTAAGGGACAAAATTATATAGCAAATCATTATTAAATATCCGTACATTTTAATAACAAAAAAAACAATTTTTTTTAAATGTCATCAATATATCATTATATATCAAAAAGATAAATATTAATATTATATCAACCATCACAAGAACGGTATGATATTTCGATATTATAAACCAAAACTCTCATCGACGCCCTACTTACCTACACGTAGCGACTGCACCCACATCGCTACACCTATGTATATACATATATGCGAGGGCGAGAAATTGACATTCGGTAACTCAGAGACCGGTTCGTGTATTACAAAAATTTTATAAGTTCCAATTTTGAACGTTTTTAATGTATAAATGGCATATTATTATACATTTAAATACTATTAATCTTAAAATATAAAGAAAACGTAATATTTTATAATTAAATATTGTATGTAACATAAATGAACATTTGGGACTTAGTCTTATTTCGGCTGTTCGTGTATTAAAAGGACTTTGTAAATTTTCATATATGATATTAAAATTATTTCATCTCTATAAAGTTTCAATCGTTATATATCGTTTATATGCATGAGTTCTATTAAAAATTGTAAAATAATAAAGTACTCGATCTATTAGTAACGCAGATATTATAACATATTGTTTCAGTACAAATATGTATGTCGCAATGAGCGTCTTGGACTTAGTCGTATTTCGGCAGAGTTAATACATACATATGTATGATAATGTGGTATTGAAAATACATATTTCTTTTATATTCTTTTTAATATGTTTTAAATTGATTATATACATGCTTGATAATGTGTTAGCGTGATCGAATTCTTCGAAACACGTAAATCATGAATGTTTTTTTATGTTGCAGACTCCCTGTTCGTGTATCAAAAGGACTTTGAAAATATAAGTTATATATATTACTCATGTGTATTCCCGGTTCCTGCATTAAAAGTTCGTAAAGACATATTCTTATAGAGAGATTCAAGTATGCCGAATTTAGTGAAAAGACATATTCGTGTATTAAAAGCGTAAACAAATTTATTTGTAGTACATATCAATGTGGTAATCAAACAAACGCAAGAGTTTTATTCTACAGTCGGCTAATTTCTTTGAAATACCAACCTTCATCATCAATATGCTTTTATGATATACTAAAAATTATATCTTAACAGAATGAATAAAATGTTTAGTTTTATTTCCACTCGCAAGTAAAATCAAACACTTTATTGTTGAAACAAAGTTCGTCGGTTGTTCATAGTGTCGCAGTGAGGGACCGGAGTAAAAATCAGTTTGTAACAAAGAGTCGGTTCGGTTACCATACTGTATCTCATGCCAGTGACACATAAAACCAGACCCTGAAGTGTGACAAGGGGCATTGCTCTCTAACAGAATTGTTGTTGGACTATCATCATCTTTCCATCATTCCCTATATTTAAAACCACACATGCAGGATGTGGAACGATCTCTCGCCTAAAACATGGGATTTTTCAATTAAGTGTCCAGGTGGCTCTTCCATAAACAAGACCAGCAGCGCTTCCTATACATCCCTTATATTGCAGATGTCCATGGGAAAAGGTGACTAATTCCGTAAGTAGGCCATCTTCTCGTTTGGTCCTTATTTCATAAAAAAGTTACGGAATTTAGTTAAGATGTATTAACATTTTCTACAAAGCTTCTTGTGTATTCGCTCAAGGTAATCCAATTTAGAGATACAGATCTGAGCGTCATCTCCCTATGACTACCTCGTTACTGCGAGTAACTTTGAAACGTAATACTGATTCAAATCCTTTATATGCAGAAAAAAACTTCAAACATTTCGTGGGGAATGGTTATAAAAATTTAACAGACACTGTAGTAAATATTTTATAATCATGATTTTAAGGTTTGATTTGCTTAATTATAATATATTGTTATATAATATCTTATTATGAAGAAGATAAATAAATTTTGTTAACAAATTTCAGTTGTTAGTTTTATATGTATATCCATGCCAAAACCTAAAATGATCTCGTTTTGAATTTCATTACCATTAAAGATGATTTACTTTTGGTTGAATGTATTTTTTGGTTTCTTATATAAAAAAGTACATACTATTCTGACCGAGATTTGCTAGAAACGTCACCTTTCTTTTAATCTTTATTGACACACATACTCAGTGTACGAATTCCCCTATTATATATTCAAAGTCAAACATTTTCAAAAAGCATTTAAAAATTATTTCATTTCAAAACTGAAACAAAAATTTCTCAATTTATGAACGTAGAAGTTAATGCTTTATGAAATGAGAAATTTAATACTTCAAATTTGAAAAGCTTTTGTTAAGTCTGTAAGATTAAAGAACTAAAACTATAGTGAGCTCTTTCAGAAATATCACCAATTCTAGAAATATTGGATCACTTTGTGGAGCACCGTTCAAGCAATTTGTATCTTTATGAGGACTATTTATTATATAGTCCATCCTATTAGTCGTGTTACAGAGAAGATCGTTTGAAAATCTATAATAAAAAATTATATTACACATTCCAGATAATTCAATACGTGTGGATTCTTATTTATATTATATCTTCTATATATATAAAAATGGATTGCTGTTCCTTAGTCTCGCTAAAACTCGAGAACAGCTGAACGGATTTGTCTTATCTTAGTCTTGAAATGTTCGTGGAGGTTCAGGGAAGGTATAAAAGGTGAGAAAAATTGGAATAATTGCCGGGAAAACCCTAAAAACAGCCCTTTTCTATTTCCCATACAAACGCTTTTTTTGACATTAGATTTGACAACTAACTAATATGTCAATCATTCTGTTTGGTTGAAACAGGAAAAACCTGATTATTTATGGCCTCTAAGACGGAATAGAGTTCGCCTGGTCAGCTATACAAATATTACTAATGACGAAACTAACGCGGACGAAGTCGCGGGCAAAAACTAGTTATTGATAAAAATTACATTTTATGTATCAATTATTTTACGCGTCTCATTATTATTGATATGATGCAAGCTTTTTTCCTGTGAATATTTAATATGGCTTATAATTGTTGTTTTCGTTCAATAATATGTTGTTAAGTTGAGAACAAAATTAATTAATAAATATTGTTAAATAAGCAAAAACACAATTGGCTATTAATTTTTATTGTTTCGAAATATTAATGTAAACTTAGTTTGTGGTTTTGTACAATGGCTACCTTTTTTATGCTATGGCTTCATTCGCACTGGAAACATTTGCCAATGTCAACATTTTTATTCTCGAACAAATTATTAGTACGCAGCCTTATAACAATGTCGAAGTGATATTACTGTAAAATTAAATTAAAATCCGTTAAGGAGTTTTTATGTGACAGATCAACAAACGTTCATACATCCTCACAAATTTCCACATTTATAATATCTGTAGGATTTAATATTTAATATATATTGATTGTACGAAATAGGTGAAAAAAACACATACTAATAACTTATAAGAAATTAAACCTCCTTAGTAATGAAACAGACTTAATTGACTCTCGTAGTAATATAAAAAACATTTTAATGACAGGACAGTGAAAATATTATTTCAAATATAATAACATATTGAAAATAAATTGATTCATTATATTTAATAAAAGAATATAAATAATGCATTGCAAAAAGAAAAAGATAAAACGGCAAGATGTAGTCTACGATAACACGGACAGAGATTTGATACCAAAACGTGGATATTACTCGGAATTGGTGTCCGATATGACTAAGGAACATACAGCGAAACAAGTATTTGCTAAGAAAAGAATGAAACTTTTATTACAAGTACATATTTACTGCCTTCATTTATACATATATAAGCTATTAAACCCTTGCACAATACTTTTACGAGTATAACTGTTTTTAATCTTGGTTCTATAGTTCGTAGGGTTGTAATATTTAAAAAACCTACTCATAATTAGTTTGAAAATGATTTATGATTATCAGTACATACAATTTTTTTTAAAATAAAGCGATATTGCAAAGACAGACTTGTAGGTTTTACCCAATAATCTATTTCGCAATCAAATTAAGTTTAAACCTACTTCAAATCAGTTTGTCCAATATAGTGTCTTCTTCTGTATTCTTAATTATTGTTTAAAAAATGAATTATAAAAAGAGTTAAAATAATAATCTATTTCCCAGGCAAAAACAGATAAACTAGCGCCAATGGTAACATCATTGGCCAAACCTCAAAAACCTAAGCTGTTACTACCTCCAGGAAGGTGGACTACTTACAGTGAAGATGATAGTGTTGTTAGTAAAATAATGTGTACTCAAGATATATGTAGTACTTTTGTATTGCTAGCTTTAAAGATGTTTTTGTTCTCAAGAAAAAAGTAGTTTTTAATATTCAAAGAAAAGCTAAAGTAAAGCCGCGTAGGTATGATGTGATTTCGTTTCTGAGAGATTTAATTTCTTAATGATGTGTGGATTAATTAATTTATTCAGTTCATTCACTATTCCTATAACGATAATAATAATATTTTTTAAGTTTCACAAAAATCGTGTGCAATTGAATAAAACTTGAATAGAATTTTAATAAAAAGAAATATTTTGATCTCATAGCAATTTCCGTTTGAAACGTTTGTTCCGAAACTACAATTTCTGAGCGTTGTTTTGCCAAAAGAGCTTCCCAGACTTGTTAAAATTGAAAGACTGCGGAGGAAATTTCTTGCTGCCAATATTAAGGTACAATGCATACATATGTTTTATTTCAATCCAATAGATATTTCATAACAAATTTATTAAAGTTCTTTTATCTCAACCTATTTATTTTGATATATATGAACGTATGCTTCAGTAATAAATAACTCTAGAAGTATATAATATGTATATGTATATATATACATAACTAGCGGCCCGGTACGTGCTTCGCTACGTATAAAGTGAAATAAAATAAACAAATCGGAACATCAAATTCATTTATTTAATCAAAAAAATATTTTATTTAAAATCGAAATCAATTGCTAGCTATTTACAACACACTTAATCCAAAACATTTGTATAAACAATATTTTTTGTTTTTCCATTTTGAGCATAAATAAACAAACGGCTGGGGGTACCGACTCTGGAACAGGCAACATATAACTGGCCATGTGAAAAACAATGTTCCTCCAAATTCACACCACAAACGTGAAGTGTTTGACCTTGGGCCTTGTTGATGGACATCGCAAATGATAAACGCACAGGATATTGTAAACGTTTGAACTCAAAAGGCATATCAGTTGGAATCATAGGTATACGCGGTATCAAAACAACTTCTCCTTTTGATTTACCAGTTAAGATCGTAGCTTCAATCAAATTTGGCAATAACTTTTTCACTGCCAATCTGGTTCCGTTACACAGTTTTGGTGGATTAATATTTCGCAATAATATAATCGAAGAACCAACTTTCAGATTCAAGCAATGCGGTGGCATACCAGCCGGCTCCAATGAATTTAAAAATTCAATTGGATAATTCATTGCCTCATCTTGATTCATAACACTGTCAATTGATTTATATTTCGTGACTACGCCTGGCAGTTTCGCTTGAATTTGAAAATTAATTGCATTGACATGAATGTTTTTCGGTGCTAAAATGGCGCGTTCTGTCAACCAATCATGATTTCTGTAATTCTGAACAATATTCGGAAAAACACATTCAATCAATTCATCTATCGATTGCGCAATTGTACAAAAATTGTTCGGTACAGCGATCAATCCGTTGGTTCTGTCGATTTGTATTTTGCCGTCACCAATTTCTAACAATTGTTTTGAGAACTCATGGGCAGCTGGATCATTTTGTAGGTGAACACGCATATTAATGTTTAGTGTCAATTTTTGTAGATATCTCCAAAGAACTGATGACTTCAAGCAGGCATTTATTTCATCAGCAGGAGTTGATCGAGGAATGACAGGCAATGTTTGACGAAAATCCCCTGAAAGTAATATCAAAGCACCACCAAAAAGCTGTTGATTACCACGTAAATCTTGCATTGTTCGATTGAATGCTTCTAGTGATTTTTTATTCGCCATTGTACACTCATCCCATAAAATAATTGACGTTAATCGCAGAACTTTTGCCATAGCAGAATTTCTCGATATATTGCAAGTTGGAGTTTCAATCACCTGTACATTCAATGGCAATTTTAATGCAGAGTGTGCGGTCCGACCACCTTCTAATAATGTAGCAGCAATTCCCGAAGATGCAAGTGCTAGTGCAATTTTCTGATCTGATCGAATAGTCGCTAAAATCAATGATATAACGAACGTTTTACCTGTGCCACCAGGTGCATCCAAAAAATATAATCCACCTGCATTATTGGAAACGGCTTGCATGATTGTATCATATACATGTTTTTGCTGAATATTTAATTTGGTTATATTCGATTGTACAAATAAACGCAAATCATTACAGTTGAATTCCTGCTCACGTTGCAATTCACGATCAAACAAATCATGCATGGGACGATTTGGTGCGGTCATACCCAATTGTACTAATGCTTTATTTGCAATCGTTAGACATATATCTTCAATTATTATCAAAGCTTCGTTGCACATTTCCAAGGTAATCAACAAATCAGGATTTCTTGCATGATGACGCATACGAATTAAAATATCTTCTGCCATATAATTTTTATATTTGTTCCATAATTCAAGTGGATTTGATGGCATACATGTCGATAATATAATGGCAAATAGCATTCGTATTTGTTGTGGATGAGCTGACGTAGATGCATCATTAAGTGTTGAATCCCAATGTGCATCATCCTCCAACAAATGCAAGAGTTGACATGCTTCACGATATGTTTGACACAAATGACCGTCGACTGTTCTTAATTCTTGAAATGATTTTGGGCCATTGACGTTAACTAATAGCAATCGCAAATAAAAACACTCAGCATTGTTTGGATGTACTGTATACATTCTCCCAATTGCATCTGTTTTGAAAATGCCTGAATGCCCATCGACTGCTGTTCCTTGTTTACGTCTTTGAAATTTTTTTGAAGACACATTCCATGTATAGTACTGAGGCACTTCGGAATATAACAAATTTCTAGCAAATGTATCAGTTTCGCATAATTTGAAAAAAGCTGTCAACGTAGTCGCTGGTGGGTGTGCTGCTCTTTCCAATGCATTTGCTTCATTAAAATAAATACGTTGGCCATTCTCAAGATGCACAGCTAAGTGAACAACCACAGGATGTCTTTCGTGCATTGGAAACGACAGAATCCTCCAGACAGCTTCATTACTACTAATATAGCGCCCCAGTTGATACTGAGTAATTTCATCATTTCTATTATCACCAGCTACACCGAAAACAGCCATATCGCTCCATTTATTTACATACTTGCAAATATATTTAATGGATTTGACTGAATTACAATACTCCACATTTATATGAGCCTTGAATATTTTCGATAATAATGGACAATACGGAACCACCCAACGATTATCAACTTCAACGTCCTGGTTACGCATTCTAATGTTTGCCGTTTTGCCATTATCATTAGGTGATCTACGTCTATACAACGGATATCCGTCATTGCCCGTTATTGTGTCTGAAGTCAATTGTCTTGGGTATCGTTTCGAACACTTTCCATCAATCATACATGGCGAATTCATATTTAGTTCACCGCACGGACCATGTATCATGTTTTTAACGACAACATCAAATAACTCAGGATCAACAGTTTGATCAGGAATTTCACCTGATATAACGTTATCGATTTGATCCGGAGTTATTTTATTTACCAGCCAAATTAATATATGTGCGTGCGGCAATCCCCTTTTTTGCCATTCGATTGAGTACATATGGCAACGCACCTCTCCAAATACACTTAATTTCACAATTAAATCCATAAGTGCTGTCAATTTTCGCCGAAAAACACGTGCTGTAATGTCATGACGATCAGTTGTCGACTGGCCTTCAAATAAATTGTTCTTGATGTCATCCCACTGCGGATTACATGTAAATGTAATGAACAGATCCGGTCGACCGTATTTTCGTACATAAGACATTGCGTCTTGTGCATATTCGTTCATATGCCGTGGGCTACCAATATACGAAGATGGCAATATAGTTAAACGTCCGATGTCATTAACATTAGCATCATTCGCTATCGCATCTTGCAAATGAATATATTCTTCGGATCTTAATTTTGCTTGGTTGAAACGAATAAAATTAAGACGTTCAGTCTCTATTTTGGCATACATATCAACGATGTACTGATGATATAGTTTACCACATTTTAAGATATAATTTTGTTCTTGTGGACGAATCATCAATCGATACGAATAAAAATTCATGGCACTAACTTTTTTCTGTATATGTAGACCTGATAATAATTACAAAATGTGACTTTAGAAAGTTGTAGAAATGAAATGTCAACACACTAAAAATAGGTCAATTATTTACCTGTTCGTGGATCAATCATTGGTATATTGATATGGTAACCATCGTCACCTTTCCAATGCAATATTGGGTACTGTAATGCATCGTAACTACGATGAAGTTCCGAAACACGTTGCAATTGCTCATTTCTACGATGAAGTACAATATCACGGGATTGAAACTGATCACCAAGAATTACAATTGCAACCTCATCAATTGTTGGTGCATTAAATCGCCTTGCATGCTCTCCAAAAGGTGTTCTATCAGCTCTTATTACGATTTTGTGATTATCAGTTGGCATACGATCGAGAGCAATTTTAAACAATTGAACTAATGCGTTATGCTGATGGAAAAACCTTTGTAGCTCACGAATAATTTCTCGTCTTGTATTCGAAACAATTGCACAACGTTGATCTAATTCACGATTTTCATCACCAATAAAATAAATTTGCAAAAATTGATGATCAGCGTCGGGGTATGGCAATAACGAACCAGCTTGATGATAAATCTGGCCCTGAATCTGTAACATGTATACAATTTTAGGTAAATCTTATATCAGTTTTTTTTTAAATATACTTTATGCTTCAGATTGATACAAACATGGAATAATCCTGTTGAAGTATTTACCTTAAACGTCGGCATAAAATTATCTCTAATAATTTTAGTTGCACCAAAAGAAGTCATTTGAAATGCCGAATTGTATTGTTGAATATGACTCAGAAAGTGCTTCGACGCTTGCGATGTCCCAAAAATAAATGAATACAATGGTTCGGGTGGAGTTTCTAATGCTGGCAATCTCACTTTGCCATTAGCACAACACATGCCGGGTTTTTCACCTCGAAAGTTAGCCGCATCACATATTGCGTCCATCATTCCAATGTATCCATACATACTATAATCAATCTGACTGTTGTAATTAAAAGCAGCACGCATCATTTCAGCCAAAACAGCACGACGTATTCGTGATGGCCGTGCAAGATTCAGTACAGGTACTGGGTTAACAAATCTATTGCGTGCATTACGTTCACGCTGCGATGCATTAGCTTGTGCGCGTTCATCTGCAGTCTGTGATCGTCTTAGTAATGCCACATCATTTGCATTACGCGTTCGCCGACCTATATTTGCTCGTCTGGCTGGTGGTATTTTTCCCGTATGCACATATGTTTTCGCTTTAAAATCGAAAAAAAAAAATTAGAACAAAAAAAAAAAAAAATTCCCAAGAAGCTGTCGCATATGATGCCATGTGAAATCATATACGGCAACTTAGAAAAGTATACATAAATTCAGGACTCACCGTTTGTATAAATGCACTGCAAATGCAATTATGTGAAAAGAAATTTATCGCTGATAATATGATTTAATCAAACCACGTCCAAAATGAATTGACGGCATGAATGACATAACAACGTGCTTGTCCTGTCAACAAAACTTAAAAAAAGTTTCTGTGAAAAAAGTTTCTATTGAATTCATTTATTACAAAAAATGTGACAAATGAGGAACCGCTCGACCGATTTTGTGCAAACTTCACATAAACCATCTACTAAATATGCCGACCAAATCCTAAGCATTTGGTTTGGATAGGTGAGCCCGTTCTTGAGTTATGGAATTACAACGAAAAGTGGCATTGATTTTTATATATATAGATATATACATGTATATAGTACTATCACTGACTATATACATATACATATATATATATGTATATAGTCAGTGGTGGCCTAGTGGTTAAAAGGCCCGCCTCTCATGCCTGAGGGCGCGGGTCCGATCCTGGCAAGTACCAAAGTGATTTTTCCGAGTCATATGTACTTTCTAAGAGTACTTAGACATCACTGATTAATGCATTCCCAAAGAGGGTTGATGTCAGGCAGGCGGGCGATCGTAAAATCAATTAGCCAAAAGTATTCACAACATGTAAGGCTAACCCTGGCTAAAGCTGGGAAATTGCCAGGTAGAAGAAGTATGTATATGTATATGTTTTTCACCAGAAAATGTTAAGAGAACGTGGTGTACAACCTTTTGTTTTAATGCCTCCATCCGAATATCCTGTTTCGGATGAAGAATATTATGGTCTATATAGTCCTTATCCAAAAATGGACCTGGAATTATTTGATAACACCGATTTTGATTGTAGGTAAGTAAAGCACTTTCGTATGGTATTTTCATATTTGTAATTGGATACAAATGATTTTTGTCTCTTGCTATATAAATGACTAGAAGACCCGGCGATCTTCGTATCGCTCTATAATCAGGAAATATCTGTTACGTTTTTTATTTATATTTTTGGAGTTTACCTTTAAGCTATAAATCTCCATGTTTTGAAGTACGATTCTGTCGTACTTCAATTGACATATAAGTTAATTGTCAAATCTAATGTCAAAAAAACGTTTGTATGGGAAATAGAAAAGGGTTGTTTTTAGGGTTTTTGCGGAAATGAATCAATTTTTTTCAGCTTTTAAACTTTCCCTGAATCTGCAAAAATATTTCAAAACTAAGATAAGATAAATCCGTTCAGCCGTTCTCGAGTTTTAGTGAGACCAACGAACAGCAATTCATTTTTATATATATGATTATGGATTTTTTATAGAATTCCAGAAGAATGGCTGAGCCTTGGTTTTATAGAAGGTGAACAATATCCCTGTCCAGGGCTAGCCTTTATACCAAAACAAGATGGAAAGCCCCATAAACCGTCTTCAGACCTTTTGCAAATGCTTAACAATTTGTATGAGGTGGGGGAGTTTGTTTTTGGCCCGATCATGAGAATTAATAGTAAAAATTTAAAGTTATTTAAAATCAAAAATATATCGTTATTTGCAGTGGACAAACGTTGCCGCGTTTAGCTACGACAAAAATACTGATAAATGGGAAGTAATGGCGTTGGATGGAACAAAGAGATACTTCAAGTAAAATTTAATGAATTAATTAATGAAATACTATAATAATTAATGTATTAAAATATATATTTGAATTACAGTACCACGAATCCGTCTTATGTTTAAAGCCGATGATCCGGACACGTTTGCAGAGAGAGTAAAATTTGCAGTAAATTTACGGAAAGAAGTAGAGAATAATTTAAGGTAGTATACCTTCGAAGATTTTGACATTAATTAGGAGAACTATATCGATTGTTAAACATGATTTTTGCTTAGATTTTATCTATATTTGGATTGCCTCCTACTTGATGGTCTACCAAGGATGCCTTTGAGTTTCATGCCGAAGATAATAGCACTTGTACTTATACACCGAAGCGCAAAAAGTGTTGATAATGATCACTTAAACGCATTGAAACAAGAGGTTTACCTTTTATTTTACGATTATATCTTAAAATAAATCTAGAAATTATTTATATTTTTTTATATATTAGATACATATGTATATATAGATACATATGTATATGTATGTAGTTCAATGTTTCAAATGTATTGAAATTTAATTTGACATTTGACATTGACATAATGCAATTTTGTAGGCTGAACTCTTATACAGAAAAATCGAGGGTAAGATGAAAATCATTCACACGATGCAGATGTACCCGAATTTATATAACTTCATTGATCCTCCGAGCAAAGACTATGTAGCTCCTGTTCCAGATTACGGTGAGTTTTTGCTTTTTTATTTATTGAAACAAAATAATTTTAATATTTAACTAATTCACAAATCTTTAAGGTCGCTATCCATGTGATATGGTAGATTTCGATGATCGTATGAAGTTTAATCAGTGGAAATCTCTTTACGTACTCACGGAGTCTGTCAGTTGTATACATTTGGTTGTGGAGGAGTGTCTTAAGGTTATAATATGATTACTATTTTGAGAATTCTCTATATATAGACGTGTATATTAATATTGATTCAATATAGGTGGAGGGTATGTTGTTTTTTACGTCCAACTATGGCAGAAACGTAAGTCTTGCGGAGTTTGACGCAGCTCAACAGCATTGCACCTCAATGGTAAGTGATACGACTATACAAACATACTAATACATATGTCTATGTGTCTAGTACCTTATTATTTATTTCAATTATCTTGAATAACTTTATTCATACAGATGTTAAAATATCTAAACATAACATGGTTAAATGCTACTGCACACGCTATTCGAATGTCATAGAGAGACGTGGGCAAGGGGTAATTGTTTTTTTACTTTTATCTTTATAGATCTTGATTATTTATGATGTAAATATATTATTTTTCTATGTTCCATTTCATATACCTAAGTATTTATAATGAAATTAAATGTTATAGATGGTTTAATATCTACGAAAAGAAATGGGATTTCTACGGTATAAGTAAGCTTAGTAGATTCATGCAGTTGGTGAGATTTCGCATGCAGGTAAATGTTATTTAAATTATTTGCTAATATACTTAATAATTGTAATAGTAGGTAGGCAGTTCTAGTCACTTACGTCAGTTGGATGTATTGTAATAAAAAGATATACATTTTCACAAATACAATAATACATGGAATTCTGTACAAATTTTAAGACGATTCCGACAAGATTGTTCTAAACTTCTTTTAAATAAGACGAAAATAAATAGTATATTTAATGAAATATTTTGGTATTCACAGTACCCGCTAAGATATTGTTTGGAGCAATCGATGGCCATGTTCGTAGCCCTGTGCGAGACACCGTGTCTTTGCACATATTGGTGCGAAGATGATTATGAATGGGACCCAAAAGATCTCATAAACACTCCGTTTAGAACTCCTACTACATTGGTAACTTGGTTTGATCTTCTTCTTCTACCTGGCAATTTCGCGGTTATAGCCAGCCTTATATGTTGTGACTAATTTGGCTAATTGTTTTTTACGACCGGCCGCCTGCCTGACATCAACCTTCTTTGGGAATCAGCATTAATCAGTGATGTCTAAATATTCTTAGAAAGTACATATGACTCGGAAAAATCACATTGGTACTTGCCCGGGCCAGGATCGAACCCGCGCCCTCGGCAACGAGAGGCGGACCCTCTAACCATTAGGCCACCACTGACTTAATATAACTTGGTTTGATATATTTATATTATAAAATAATTTAAAAACTATCTTTCTCTAGATAACTTTCTGTCAGAAACAATACGTAGAAAATATTTATTAAAGTAATGAAAAATAAAATTTCGTATTTTGAATTACATGTAACATTAAAGAACAGGCTTTAGCAGCAATGTGAGGGAGAGAGTTTAGAGAAAATATTTCGCTTCTGATTTTCCCCGCAGATAAGGTGAAAGTCATTAGGAAGAAAGAGTACAACAAGTTGAGGTGACTAACAAATATTAAACCATTATTAAAAAGTAATTTTGGGCGTTCTTAGAATAATAATAATAACTTATTTGTAACAAGGTAAATAAAAAAATATATCAATTTTGTATTTATAGATTACTGCCGTAAATAAACTACTTTTATTGAAAAAATAGAATTGAAAAAAGAAAACACTACAATATTTTTAATTATATATAAAAATCATCCCTAAAATTATTAAATATAATTTATGCAAATAATGAGAAAATGTTATAAAATTAAATGAAACCCGTTAAGTTATATGTATTTCACTTTTTTAAATTCAAAATATCAAATTTAAAATTACAGAATTTTTTATAAATATTATATATCAAAAGAAAAATTATTACATCTCCATGTAGACTACTGTTCCCACCATTTGTATCTTTATGGGGACTATTTGTCTTGAAGTATGTTTTATTTGTCGGGTTATACGAAGAATCTATTAAAAATGTGTAAGACAGTTATAGAACAATGTAAAAGACAATGGATACTCAAATAAACAACAAACTGTATGAAATTATTTTTGATGTATTGTGTTAAGTGTAAAAAGGATGTCAGTTTTTAATTTATTTGAATGAATAGGAACTTTTCGTAAATTGAATACGGAACATATTGTAGCATGAGGATGGTTAATATAATTTTAAATAAAAGAAAATCCATATTATTTCTTCACTAGTAATTAATTAAGGATTCAAAATGATGATATCAGGTACTTAGTGTGTATTTCATGTCTAAGAGGATTAACAATTTGAAAAAAAATAAGGCTAAAGTAACACTTGTCAACTTACATAGAAATATATTGCTTTATTATAAAAAAATATTGTTTCTTAATAAATAAATAAAATGAATTGCTACAATTTTATAGATAGTATAGATAAATTTGGGAAAAATATTTTATTTTCAAATTATAAGAAAACTGTTCGTGGGGTTTTCACATCAAATCAGTTGAACAATTTGTAAATTGGAATTTTTTTTTGTTTGTTTGGTAACAAGAATTACATGTCGTATTATTGTATCTATGCAGTAAATAAGTGTTGATACAAATAAATTACTACATATAAATTTTCATAAAATTCAGAATGAACCTTGGTTTCTCATTTTCTCGTTGAAATATTCTTTCGGAAATTCAAGTTTCTGTATGATTTTTTGCTGAAAAATCTTGAAAGACTAGTGAGAATTGAAAAACCTCGAAGAAATTTTCTAGCTGCAATATTTAGTAAGAGCAAATTTGTATTCTTTTAAAGACTGTTGTTTTTAATATTTTACCAGTTTCTCGGTTATAGTTTTCTCTTCTGTGAGCTTAATTAAAACTTTTCTTGTATATATTTCCTTGAAATGTCCATGACTTTATTTGCTTTTTAGTGGAATAAATGTAATGACTGGAAGGTTTTACGTGATGAAGGTGTATTTTCTTTTCTGATTCAACAATCTATTTTGTAAAAAACGTATACGTGTAGTATTTTAAATGACGCAATATATTTGAAAGTTTTTTTATGTGACCACCTGAAAAAGGCAACCCAGTCCTTATTATATAATCTTTAATACAATTATAAATAGTGTACAATTTCAAGTTAAAGGTAAGCGAATATTCTTTCAAGGTGAAATTGTCTGTCCGTTTATAGTTATCGACGTAACTGCTTGAGACGGTACAAGAGCACTAGTTGATGAACGTGACAAGTATTTCACAGAGTTCCAATGTGTATGTCAATTAATTGATGTTAATCAATTGATAATTCTTTTTACGTATAAGATAAAGTAAGGTAAATATGATAAAGTCTGTATAATTAAAATAGTTAAGTAAACAATTATCAAATTAACAGTTTCATTTCCAGATTACAAAACAAGTTTGGTATATTTTATGAGAATTAAATTTATATGAGATACTACTTGACTGATGGTTTTTTGACTAAACTACACCTTGTCATAAGATACGAATTTCCTTAGCCTAACTTGCAATCAACGTTCTGAATTTTATGATAGCTAATGATTCACCCTCATCCAGTTCAGAATTCAAACCTCTAAACTTCATATTATTGTTAACTTAAAAGAACTGTCTACTTCAAACAACGAGGTTACATTAAGCATCTTAAAAATCTTTTTAAAAAGCAGTGGCGAAAATCCCATGTAAACAGTGACTAATTCTAGAGTATCAAAGTCAAACAAATTAAGAGCCTATTTAAAAGGCGAAAGAAATAATTTGTAATATAATAGTTTTTTTTATTATTTTATCCTGAGATTTATATATGTTGCAATAAATTTGATTTTATAACATAGCTGCGTTAAAAAAAATTGTAACATAACTTTTAGCTGAACTAGGTTTATTTATGTTCCACCAATTTACAGATAAACCTTTATAATGTCTATCAAATTACCCCTCTAATAGATGTATTAAAAGTTTATCATTTGTTAATTATCTCTGAATTACAAAAGTGTTACGAGTTCCTTGGAGTTCAGATAAGCAGACTTGTGGCTTTGTGGCTTAACCTCAATCTTAAAACTTATTAGTTTATAGTTTATTACGATTATATACAAAACTTTTTTTTTTTTTAACGAGGAGAATCTTTCAAAGACTTCCCGCCGCGGGGGAAACACGGCGGGGGCGTGTGGGATTTCCACCCACTAAACTCCTCGGCGTTCTCTGCGCAGTGCGTAGGCTAGTGAGCGGGAACGGCGAGCCATGCTTCCGCTCACTACGCACAAGTCCCGAAAGGGACTCCGCCATCGGCAGGGGTATCAGTGGCTAGACCACACCACCCCTCCGACTCAAGAGCAGCGTGCCGGGAACGCCAAACACGCCGCTCTTACTCAGGCCTATGTTACCCGGACGCCGGTTCCCCACCGACGCACGGAGGCTCCTCACTGGGGAGGCAGGTCGCGGGCATATGCCCGCTGCCTTCGGCCCAGTCTACGTCGACGCAAGGGCGCCGAGGAGGGGTCGTCTTCCCGTACACGTTCTGCGGCCTCTTTCCGCGACATCACGTGCTCGCAGAACTTGACCATCGCCTCCCAGGCCCTCTCGCTACCGACCATGGCCTGAACCACAGCCGGCAACGATAGGTCTGCGCCAACTACAGTGGTGAGCTGGCGACGCTCTACAGCCCACGCAGGGCACTCCGCCAAAGTGTGATCGGCCGTGTCATCCATGCAACTGCAATGGTGACACGCCGCAGTCGGCTCTCTCCCGACTATGTGGCACAGATACCTCCCGAAGCTACCATGCCCCGAGAGGATCTGCACCAGCCGGAAGGTCAAGGAACCGTGTCGGCGGTCCACCCACTCTTTAAGGAGCGGGCGAATAGCCTCCACGGTTCGCAACCCGGCCACTGGCTCAGAGAGTTTCCGCTTCCACCGGCGAAGCAGTAAGGCGATCAAGGAGCGCCGCCAACCTTCCACCCGATCCCGGTCCGGACTTGGACCCCGGGATCGAACTCGCGCACGCTGGTGGTACACCTCCGACAGAACCTGGGCATCCAGTTCCCACGGAGGCGTCCCAGCCAGCACGCAAGCCGCCTCATGGGAGACGGTGCGGTATCCCCGTACCACCCTCACCGCCATGACGCGCTGCACTCCGTGCAGCGCAGCCACGTTCGGCCTTGTGAGGGCACCGGCCCACACCGGAGCTCCGTACAGCGCCATTGAGCGCAGCACGCCAGTGTACAGGCGCCGACACGCCACGCTCGGACCACCGAGATTCGGCAGGAGCCTTCCGAGAGCATTATATACAAAACCAATCTCAACCCATTATACTCGTAACTCGTGTATTATAAAAAAATATTAAATAAAACATGATAGCAGGAGACGAAATATCAATTAATAATAAAAAAAAATTATTATATTTTTTATGTATGGCAAAATAATTGTTTCTGAAGTAGGTACCATGCGTTTGTTACAAAAAACAAGTCTGGAATTAGATGTAGCGTCATTGTTTTTGAAAGAAAGTCAAAAAACCGATTCAGAATTGATATAATGTTCATAGTTTTGATAAACATCACATTTTTTAATTATACTTTTATTTTGATTAAATTTCGATTGAATAATCTATTCTTTGACTGACTTTTGTGGAGCACTTCGAAATCATTTTTAAATATCAAAGTACAGAGTATTTTTGACAGTTCACTTATATCCAACTATATTTATCGATATAACAACGTTTGACAACTTTAGTGTTCAATTTATTTTCAATTCTTACATTTTTCATATTATATCAAGCGCACATCTTTAAAAGCATCAGTTATCAAAAAATACTTCCTGGAACACGTATTTCATAAAAAATCAATGATAACGTATAAGCAGTGTCCATATTTTTAATACGTTCTTGTAAGCACAATTTTGATTATACATTGCTTCTTTCATATTACATTGTATATTTTGAGAACTTTCTAAGGAAAAGCGATTTAATTTTGAGATAAAATCAATACACGCAGATTTTTTTACGGTTTTATTGATATATTTTTCAGAAAGTTTCATTTTCATTTTTCTTATTCAATTTAATATTTTTCCTAAGAACAATACTA